TCTAGACGTGTCTACAACTTACTAACTGTCTAGAACTCTAGAGCTCTAGACTAGTCTAGTAATAGTAAATCTATATAGTTGTTGTTTTTTTTATGCTTGTTGTATATGTCACAGATATATGAATCCTATCTGGGTTCAATGTCTAACGTTTTCTAACGCTCAGTACTCAATACTTTAATTACTTTGAGCGCTTAATCAACTGACCAGTCACCAGTCAATCGTCACTCTTATGTTCGATATTGTGAATTAAACGTTACCTGTTAGGTGATCCGTTAATACAGGATTGTATGGTCGATGGTTGTTTATTCTGAAATATTTACAACCATTTTATAACCTTACACCTTCATATTTCTATATCTTCAACTGCATACTTTTTGCATTACATAAGAAAAACAACAACAAAAAAAAATAAAAAAAAAAATGGGCAAAACGAGAAAAGAACATCCAGGTAATTTTTATAGCTGTTTATTGTTGGTTGAAAATGGTCTTTACCCTGTTCTCAACACCAATATACAATATCTACAAGCTAATAGTTGAGCTTCATTGTACAATGCCATATACAATCACGATTATTGTTTATTTTATTTATTAATTTGATCAATGAGGTATTCTCAATAACTCACTAATCCACTCATGAATTGTACTATAATATTAATACTGTCATTCACGGTTATAATATGCTGTATAATTTCACGATACATGGTTTTTAGAATTTTATTGAAGCTTTATTATAGAACTTAAACTAACTTATTAGAGTTAAAATTGTTTGTGTAGCGTTTAAATATGAATAAAATATCAACATTTGAATTACTTAAAAATTAGTATTTATGTATTATACTATATAAATTATAAATGATGTATAATTAACTATCAGTTTTTCATCAATTTGTACAGTTAGTAATAATATAATATTACAAGATTAGGTGAATAAATAGATTATGTTTTATTTTCAGTTTTATAATTTTATAAAATGTTTTTAAATAATTGTAGCTTAGAATTTACTTTACTTATCGATGTAATGTTATATATTTTATACTGTACTTTTATTTTACAAAATTTTTAAATTAACGTTTMTGTTTTAGAGAAAAGAGGCAGGAAAAGAAAGAAAGACGATTTTGATGAAAACTCTATGGGATTGGATGATCCTGTGTTATTAGCCGTTAATGAAGAAGGTATTTAGTAACAATGTATTTGATTATCAAACTATTTTAATTACATTTTTAAATATAATTGTCTATAATTTTTAATTTAGAGGGTTTACCAAGTGCAGCTAAAAAAACTGCTGAAACTGCTATTAACAGTGTCGAAGATGAGTTTGGAGCTAAAGACTATAGATCACAGATGAATCTTAAAATAGACCATGCCTCTCGACCATTATGGGTTGCTCCTGATGGACATATATTTCTTGAATCATATTCTCCTGTGTATCGCCATGCTCATGACTTTATGATTGCTATTGCTGAACCAGTTTGTAGACCAACACATTTACATGAAGTAAATATTTTTTATTTTTACAATTTATGTAAGACATATAAAATTTATTTTATTTTTATTTCAGTATAAATTAACTGCATATTCATTGTATGCAGCTGTTAGTGTTGGATTGGAAACCAATGACATAATTGAATACTTGAAACGATTGAGTAAAACTAGTATACCTGATGGTATAATAGAGTTTATTACTGTGTGTACACTTTCTTATGGAAAAGTTAAACTTGTACTTAAACATAATCGATACTTCATTGAATCACAACATCCAGATATTTTACAAAAGCTTCTTAAAGACCCTGTTATTGGTTCCTGTCGTCTTAAAAGGCTGGAGGATACTGATGCCTTGATCACAGAAGAACAAAAAATTGAAAAATCCCATGTAATATACACTTATTTATTTATATTTTTATGTTACTATATATTTTTAGCACTGGGTCAATTACTTTTTAATTTACACCCAAGTAACATATAACTAACTTAGTATTATTATGTTGTTACTTAAATGAAAAAAATAGATACAAAATGGTAAATTGGTACGTCACTTTTGTGTATTCAAAAATAAACACTATCTTAAGGTACATTAATTTTTCTTAAAAAAGTTAATTTCAAGACAATATTTTTATATTTGAAACTATTGAGCTGKKCACAATATGATTTATGACTGTTTAATGTTTATAACATTTATAAATCTTATTTTATAATGATTTTAATTTAATACATATTAGAATACTATCAAATATGTTACATGACATTGAAGAAGACTTACCAGTTACCAGCATGTGTTGTGTCCGCCATACAGACATATTACATACCAAATTTTCATTTACTAGTTTCTATAGCATGTAGTTAGTTTTGATATTAGAGTGAATTGGCCTATTTTCTAAATTTTAGATAGAACTTAAAACAATATTTCATATAAAATTACATTGTTTGTATATAAGAGAATTATTTTTAACAAGTTAACAATATTACAATAATGCCTATGGCTTATAAAGTATTAAATATTATTTTGTTTTTTAGTTTCCTGGAGATTCTTTAAAAGACAAAGAAGATCATTTGAATGATGTAGTTCCAAAAGATATAACAGATTTATATGAGAAAATTGATAAGGTTGAAGAAGAAGAAGAAGAAAAAACACAAAATCTTGTATCATTTGAAGTTCAACAGGAAAAAATTGAAATCATACAAAAGCGTTGTATAGAAATTGATACACCTCTATTAGTTGAATATGATTTTAAAAATGACAAAGTCAATAAAGATATTAAGTAAATACTTTAACTTAATTAATAAAAATATATTTTAATTAAAAAGTAGTAATTTTAAATTTTATCTATAGCATAGATTTAAAACCTCAAGCAACATTAAGACCTTATCAAGAAAAGAGCTTGAGGAAAATGTTTGGAAATAGTCGGGCAAGATCAGGAATTATTGTGTTGCCGTGTGGTAAATATAAACTGTATTATATCATAGTTTATTTTAATGTATAAATGTACAGTAGTTTTCATCTAATAACTTGGTGTAACACTAAACCAATGAATCTGAGCATCTTTTAATGTTTACTGAATTTATTATTATTAAAAAAATAGGTATCTGATCATCAGTGTTCTATTATAGTGTAAAGAGTTCTTAATTAGCGACATTTATTTATTAATTAATACTCTTTAATCATTTTTTTATATTAGTTATTGGCTGATAAGCGATTACTGAGCTGAGTAACTAATAATTAGGTCCCAAATTAATATGCTCTAATAATCTTAGAAATATGTGCTATAAAATGTTCATTTATGYCTTTATTTTGTAAAAGTATACCTTTTAAAATAACAAAATTTACAAAAAAAAAAATGAATAACTCACAAATTTTCATGACAAAATACTTTAAATTTTGAATCGTAATTCTTATTTTAGTAACATTTATGTGTTTGATATTGTCTTAGGAGCTGGAAAAAGTTTGGTAGGTGTAACAGCTTGTTGTACTGTACGTAAACGTGCGTTAGTCCTATGCAATTCAGCAGTGTCTGTCGAACAGTGGAAGTATCAATTTAAAATGTGGTCTACAGGTATTTATTATTAGTTGAACATTTAAAATAATAATACAGATTAAAAATGTTATTGTTTATTCCTAGCTGATGATAGTTTGGTATGCAGATTTACATCTGATGTTAAAGACAAATTAATGGGCTGTGGTGTGTTCATTACAACATATTCAATGATAACACATACACAAAAGAGATCTTGGGAAGCTGAACAAACAATGAAATGGATTCAAGAGCAAGAATGGGGCATAATGGTGTTGGACGGTAAGAAACATAACTTTCACAGTTTTTTCTACAGGAGTTAATACATATTACCATTGATTATATTACATATATTTTAATTTTATAGAAGTACATACCATACCTGCTAAAATGTTTAGACGTGTATTGACACTAGTTCAATCACATTGCAAATTGGGCYTAACAGCCACATTATTACGAGAGGATGATAAAATTGCTGATTTAAACTTTTTAATTGGCCCTAAACTATATGAAGCTAACTGGTTGGAACTGCAACAAAAAGGTTACATAGCAAAAGTTCAGTGTTCAGAAGTGTGGTGTCCAATGGCACCAGAATTTTATCGTGAATATTTAGCTACTAGAACATGTAAAAAAATGGTATTGAATTACAATCTTGTTGTTTCTTAAAGAATATAATTTGTTATGTAATTATCATGTGTTTTTGTTCAGCTTTTTTTTGTGATGAATCCAAATAAATTTCGTGCTTGTCAATTTTTAATACGTTATCATGAACAACGGGGAGACAAAACTATTGTCTTCTCTGATAATGTATTTGCCCTTAAAGAATATGCATTAAAGTTAAGTAAACCATATATTTATGGGCCAACATCTCAGGTAATAAATCTTAATCAATGTTATAAAATTCTTCAAGATAAACAACGAAATATTAATATTATATATATATTTTATTTTTATACGTGTAGGCAGAAAGAATCCAAATATTACAAAATTTTAAACTAAATCCAAAAGTAAATACCATATTTGTCAGTAAAGTTGCAGATACATCATTTGATTTGCCGGATGCTAATGTTCTTATACAAATTTCCTCTCATGGTGGAAGCCGACGTCAAGAAGCTCAACGTCTTGGTCGTATTTTACGTGCTAAAAAAACTGCTATTGCTGAAGAATATAATGCATTCTTCTATACCCTAGTGTCACAAGACACAATGGAAATGAGCTACTCAAGAAAAAGACAAAGATTTCTTATCGATCAAGGATACAGTTACAAAGTGGTTACAAAACTTGCTGGAATGGATGAGGTATACACTTAAAAAAATATTAGTATACAACTATTTTGAAATTTAATTTTATATTTTACTTTAGGATCCAGAGCTATTTTATTCTAGTAGAGAAGATCAAGGTATATTATTAAGTAAAGTCTTAGCAGCCAATGACACTGATGCAGATGAGGAACGAATGCCATATGAGGGTACATCTAAGTCCTATAAAAAAATGTCTGGTAAAATGAGTTCTATGTCTGGTGCTGATGATGCTGTTTATGCAGAATTCAGAAGAAATTCTGGAGTAAAACATCCTTTATTCAAAAAATTCAGAAAGTGATGTTTAATRTTTACAATAAAAATTATATCATACTCTTAATTTAAAAATCAAATGTTTGTACTTCATTAGTATTAAGAAGTTTATAAAACAAGAATTAAAACTAAATATATTTTGCTTACCGTTATTTGTTTTATTTCTTAGAACTTATTATCGTAATAAATTCTAAAACAGAAAATAATTTTTAATGTTTTTAATTTAATTGAAAATATTAACATTCTTTTTTACCTTTATAATCAATTTTTTTGTCACCATTTAAATCGGCTTCTTTTATCATATCCTCAATTTCTTCATCTATGAGTCGTTCTCCGATACTGTACATAACACGTTTGAGTTCATCAAATGTTATGAATCCATCRCCATTTTTGTCAAATACTCTGAATGCTTGGTGCATTTCTTCCTCGCCATCTGCCGCTTTTAGTTTTCTAGCCATCATTAACAGGAATTCATCAAATTCAATACTACCATTGCCGTCTTGATCCACTTCTTTTACCATACCTCTCAAATCAGTTTCTAGACAGATACATGAAAAGATCAGATTCAATTATTACAATATATTAAAAATAAATTAGATTCTGCAGACTGGGTACTAATGTATTTTTTTAATAGTAATTTTTTTTTTTATCATATTTTAGAACAGAAATTTTGCTTTAATCTTTAGAATTGTTTCTACCTGTAAATTTGATCTAGTTGGTACTGTTGGATAAATTTCTACTACTTTTCTTAATAATGACAAAAATTTAACAAAATAATGTGGAAAACAGTAATATTTTATATAGGTAGCATTAGTTTTGAAAAATATCTATTCTTTTATTTTAAAACTAATTAAGAAAGGAACACTGCTTAATGCTTAGAAATTTAAGGTTAATAATTTTAAAATACCAAATATAAAATATAATGATAACTATATATAATATATATTATATAATGATTAAATTTCGTAATTTGAGTTATAAAGATTTACCTACCAGTAGGCCTTTGACCTAAAGATCTCATAACCACTCCAAGTTCTGCCTCAGTAATCCGTCCATCATGATCTTTATCAAACAACATAAAAGCTTCTTTGAACTCTAAACAAAGGCGAATGTATGATTATTATTTATATTTGAGTATAACTTAAGCCAACAAGTATTGCAAACTGCAAATTTGGATTCATTGACTAGTTAAATTGATAGATAAAATTAATTAAGTATTCAATTTTAAACTTAATTAATTAGTTGATTTTGTGATTATTATTTTAGTAAGTAGTGTACTAAACATGAACAGTAACATAATTAGGAATTTGGTTTGGTAGAGGGATTATATGTTTATGACAAAATACGAAAGTCTCATTCATTAATCTACCCCACTAAATACAAAATGTTAGAACTAAAATAAAAGTTTTTAGGGGAGATATATCCCCGAACTAGATAAAGTATTATTGCATTGAACCACCAAAGTTTTTTAATATTTTTGACATCCAATCTTCGACGATTATCCGAAAGAATATTTTTGTTATATGTAGAATGTTATTGATTATTGACTACAAACTTATAAAATTCCATAAAATAATAAATTATATATACTAATCCTAAATTTACTTTTATATACTATTAAATGTTATTGGTTAATGGTTATTGACTACAAACTTATAAAATTCAATAAAATAATAAATGATTTTAATAAATATGCATTTTTATACACAAAAAAAACATCAATATGCAACCTTTAAGAAAACTACCAATATATGCAAAATTGAAATACCAAATTTCAATTCATTACGTTATAGAACAGATTTTTAGMTCATCTAGCTATAAATAGGAGATATAGAAAAAAATATGCAAATCCTATAACTTCTCATCCCTAGTTATAACTTTTTAATGCCCTACCTAGTTGCAATTCACTTTGATTTTGGGGTGATCAATGATCATGTATGTTTTACGTATACGTAGGTATTGTTGCAAATTACTTCGATTGTTAAAAATACAGTAGTTAACCATGGTTAAACATTAATTATTGGTTATTCAAATATTAAATTTAAAAATAACCCTTCGCTGTTGTCTACAATAATATTTTCTCACACTGACTCTTATTAGCTTGATTCAGAGACGGTTGGAAGCATTAGGTTGCATATATTATTGTATACATGATGCAAACAATTTTAAAATACCTACCTATTAACAAATTAATTACCTAGACAATGTACCCACTATTATGACATATCACATATATACTAATATATACATGCATACCATAATGACTACTGACTATGTTGTATACTAAAACTAATATACTAATTACTAATACAATAATCAGGATTCGGATTTATATACCTACTCTTAAATATATCGAAAAATGCTCTTTAAAATGAGAAATTATGACCTAAGCACTCTAAAAGATCCCACAAATATTCCTAGGATTTCTTCAGATATAAAGATCAATTTATCAATTTAAAATAACCAAATTACTTTATGTTCAAGTACAAATACCTAGTACAATATGTGTAATTATATATATATTTATTTAATAAAATAGTACTAGAAATAGGTTGAAAATAACGCTAAAAATAATAAATGCCTTAAAAAATTAAAAAATGCATTTAAACGTCAAAAACCTTGAAAATGCCTAATAATACCCCAAACAAGTTAATTGTGTTTGMATTTAGTGAGTACTGAGTATCTGAGTAACATCATTTTCGTATTATTATTTATAATAAATATACAAACAACTTTACCCGCAACTTGATCTTCTGACAAACCAAATTCATTCTGAAATAAAATGTTGTTGTTAGTGTTCTTACTTCTCATAATAAGTTATTGAAAATATTAAATATTTTTATAAGTATTAGTACTGATTGAGTCCGTATGTCATATCTACTCGTCAGTTTTCTTATTCTCGAATATTCATTTTTATAACGGTCATTATCACTATTTTTTGCACTCATTTTGTACTTCGTACACCTGACACCTGCAGTTGACAATTATTTTATTGATTGATTTGTTTATAAATTTTGATGAAAAGTTTGTTTAAAAAAAAATTACGATTTAAGAAATTTAAAGTCTGAACACTCTGAACCACATTTTTCGGGTAAATAAAACGTGCACATCATAATTTTAATAGAAGTGTACTAATAGTATACTTTCACTAGGAAAATAAAAAGGAATTGGCGCCGTCATCTTCAGAAAGTTGGATGTGTTTATTATTTTTGTTATTAATATATATTAATACATGTATATACGGCTCCCACTGCAGCAAATAAGCCAATTTATTTTTAGAAAAAAGTGTTTAACACTTAAATTGCTATAGTGGATGAAAAATTAATTATACACGATATCATAAGCAAAACTAGAAATTTTATTAGGACATGCCAAATTGTAAATATAAAAAAAAATTCTGATTACAAAATACGAATTTTAAATTTTATTAAGTCTGTAGTAGGTATATTTTTATTCAGTCAGTATTAAGTCAGGTCATCTAGTCATGGAATCACTGTCCTGACTCGTAGTTTCGCCTATGCCATATTATTAATATCAATATGTATTAAGTAGGTATATAGTTAGGCAATAAGCACCTAGTCCTGCTTAAAAATAACTAAAAAATATGCAAATATTTTATTATATATTATATATAAGGTACCTAAGAATTATTATAATACACATTTTGCTACTATTGAATATTTTTTTGTCAAATAACGTATTCGTGAATAATAAAAACATAGGTGCTTAATACGAAGGAAAATTCATATCAACATTTTATAGGAATCTATTATAGTTTTAAAAACACGACAACATTGTTTATTTTTTTGGTTAGAAAACTTTTAATCCGAATTCCGATTGTTTCCGACAATTTAATATACACTAGACAGTAGACAGTAAGATAAAGAATACATATACATTAATAACCGAAATATTTCAAATTTTTATCTGAATAATAAATTACCAACCGATGTGGCAATATATTCAGTTTAATTGAAAAATGTTTCTTAGAAACCAAGTTTCAATTAAAAATCTAGGGGTAGAGAGGCTTAAAATTAAAATCATAAAACAATATATATTGTTTAAAACTGTAGTATCTGTATAGGCAAATTAAATAATACAATTTTTTTTTATAATATTGTCTTCGAACAGCCAAAAATACATATTCTCCCTATTCAAAACAGCTGATAGTTTATAGTGTTTATACAGTTGGTTCAGTGACGTCTACTCCGTTGATTGTGTATATGACGTAGGTGCGTAGGTCCATGGTTGATAATTGATATAGATCAAGGTTCAAGGGTATCATTTGGAGTAAAATCATGGGGTAGCAAGTAAATTGAATAATATTTTATACCCAATTGCAGCATGGTCTAATGAAGCCGAATCTAGGAAAAAAAGGCAACAGAAAAACAAGCAAACGGAAAAAGGCATATATAAAATTACATGGTTACGTACCTATATTGTCGTTAAAATTGTATATAAAATGTACAATTATAAAAAAAAAATTATCTAATTAATCGTATATCACGAGATATAGCAATAAAAAAATTCGGTAGATCCCGATTGTTATCTCTATACTCTTCACATAATTTTTTTAAATTAATTTGCATTTTTCCATACGTTTTAATTTTTTTTTTTTGGTTGGACTGCAGTGTCTAATAATCGCTTCTGGATCTTCGTCCAATCGGCTGACACTTCCAGTGTCATTTTTGCTGGGCACAGAACAGTCGAAAACGCAGGTACCAAGGAACTAACACACTACCTACTATAATATTACTTACTCTAGTTATTTCATAAAATCTCACTATCTTGACACTATTGAATAGAATGTGAATTATCTCACACACTTGAATCATTACCTATAAGATAAGTATGAATTTGACATTTTTTTATAGTTCCACATGACCACTACACAACTTATATCAATACCAGATACCTGTATTTAATCAAATTATCGCAAATAATAAAGATTATTTTCACTCGCTTAGTAACTGTGGTTTTCAATGACCAATGGGTATTCATCAATAAATTATAAAACCGCTCAATGAGAGAGAGAATAAGGGAGAACCGAGGGCTAAAGCACAAAATAACCACGTCTATTTTCGTTAAATATTATTTATTATTATAATTATTTTTGTAAAATATTTTCGTAATCTAATTTTCATTTGCCTTTTTTTCAGTTTGCTTTTTTTTCATTTGCCTTTTTTCCGTTTGCTTTTTTGTCATTGCTTTTTTTCCGTTGCTTTTTTCTAGTTGCCTTTTTTCCCTACTACCAATGAAGCCTGGGATCATTCGTTGGATAAAATAGTACAATATTTGTGGAGCAGCAATATGCCAGGCACCTATATGACTAAGATCTTTAAGCGATTTAACAGATTTTCGTTTATAATTATTGTAAAATATATTATTTATTATACATATATTTCAATTTAGATTAGGTTTACAATATATATCTTTATTCTAGTAATCTTTACGTAATAAACTTGGTATATTTTGACATTTAAATAACTGTAAGTTATCTAAAAGCTAACTCGAACTTCATTAGTAACTCATATTATATAGGTAATATTATAATGTATAGGTATATAGAGTATTATAGACCATAACACATTTTAATCATAATTCGAAACCACGCGTGCAGATGTAATATATAATTAATGTAAAATTATATAATTCCCCGTAGATAATGATTAAAATTTGCATTTGATTATATTAGCACTCAGATTTTATAGAGAAATAAATTTTTTAAAAGCAATTATATAAACCTAATTGTCAAAAAACATTTACCATAAATCATAATTTAGGTCTRCAAAAATAAAAAATAAAAAAGTATTTTMTATGCTTGGGTAATGTTAGTTTTTTAAACAATGTTTTCTCTTCGGATTGTTTGGAGTCAGGCGAACTAATTGTTTAAACTGTCCGCGTATAATAGATGAGAATGGTTTTGATGTTCTATCCAAGCCGAATTCTTCACATGTGCTTAGGAAAATTTCTTGCAAGAATGGTATTAAACTGTGGTCTAAAGACGGGAATAAATGATGCAACGTATGGTCACTAAACGTTACCAAGGACACAAATATATTATCAGTTATCTCGTTCCGTTCCTCACTGGTGTCAATTTGATGAATTCCCCAATCAATGTCTTCACCACTAAACACAAAATAATATAATTTTTAAACATTGTATTCTACAAGTAAATAATTTTGTCGATTTAAACTATAATAAGTACCTATAGCTTTTTTATTATTAAAATAATGATATAGAAAATTAAAAACCAAGGACGTCACTCTGCTATATTCATACTATATTAATATCTAATTATTATTTATTATMAATGTATAACTTATAAATTAATATACTGACGTAGGTACACAGTGGCGTATCCAGATTTTTTTTCGGCAGGGGTTATATTACAAAATTTTAAATACAAAACGAAATACTAATTTAAACTAATACGCTATTTAAATTTAAAAAAAAATTAAGTTTAGATCATATTTTCCTCTTTTAGTTCATTTTCTTTATTCTTATATAAAATTCCACCAATTAACAGCTTTGAATTTTTTTTTGTTTTACACAGTTTTAAAAATTTTTTAAAATGTTTCACGTGAAATTCAAATTAAGTCAACTACATTTTTTTTTTAAATTAAATAAACACATTTTTATGCATGTAAAATGTAATGTACTATTGTGTAATATCCTTTAATATCAATATGACAATATATATAAATATAAAAATTAAATTAAAAACCATTTTAAGTGCATTTTATACTATATGTTAATCACAATATAATAATCCTAATATTATTTTATAATATTTTATTAAGGGGATTGGAAGCGGTGATTTTCTGTCTTTGTCTAACACACGTGGGACATACAATACGC